GGAGAGTGAAATACAGTCCCCTCTGTTCAGCCTGTGGTACCAGTACCAGCCTATTTACCATTAACATTCGAGTCTGGAACTTTTGGATCCCAGAATTTTTTAAAAGATTTTTTACCTTTCCTAAATTTAGGAGTTACCTTTTCCATTAAATCAACGTACATCAAATTCTTGAATTTCCGATTTATAGTTTTCATCAACAATATCCTTAGATGAACTCTGGCCTGGCACGATTGCTCATTGTGGCCCTCACAGTTTTGCATCTGTTACTGAATGAATTTAGGGGATTTTTTTTTTCAGGTTAAAGTCTATTTTTAAAACTGGCCTAGGGCTTAAAGAGATGATAGTGTTTGTCTGGTCATGTCTGCAAAATTCAGAAACAGTAATCAGTCTTCTGTTAGCATTTTCGTTCAAGCTGAAATCACAGTGATTGGGAGCTCTTACAAAGATCAGGGACAATGATTTTACAGTTCAGTACTGTTCATCTCATAAAGCACCAATGACCTTTTTCAATGTGGCTGTTATTCATTCATTTCTTTTTAGATCGTTCTGAAAGTCCTGTCATGTCCATTTGTACTTTTCTGTCAGCTGACTGCTTATAGTTTGAAAGAGATGCTGCTTTCAAACATAAGCAGCATCTCGACAAAAGAGCTATAGTTCTGTCTCACCTGACCCAAAGGTGTGCTTCCAGTATGCATAATCTTTCTCCAGGTTGTCTTTAGCATTCTTCAGGTGGGCTTGAAGGTGGTTCATCTGCAGAGGTTTTTCTTGTTCTGCAACCTTATAGTCCAATTTTGTGCAGGGTTCTTTTGATTGTCATCTTTGAGACGAACTTGGCTCAGTCGTTATCTTGTGTCTCAGCAGTTGTTCACATCTATAACTAAGTTTCTTTCCACATTCTTTCTAATAGTTTGCTTCCTACCTCTGCCAGGCTTGTTGTGTATTGTTTGGCTCTCTTTGAATTTCTTGATGATACTTCTCACTCCAGTTCTTGACATTTGGAAATGTTTGTGAGAACTTTGTATATCCATCTTTCCTTTGTTTTTGTTTTTGTTTTAAAAAGCACTTCGGAAATTTTTGACAAAAACATGTCAAGTTTCCAAAAAGTCTGCAAAAACAGCTTTTAATTTTGACCTCTATAAATACTTGCCTGCTAAGGTTATGGGCTCAGTCACTGGTTTTGGAGGTATGTAATTACACACTGTTTGACTTGTCAGTCAAAAGTCATTAGCTAATAACCTGCAGTTACATAGTTAGAATCACTCCTTCTCATCAAATGTGGCTTTTAGCAACCAAGGTGGTGATCGCCGCAAATCTTATCTTAGGCTTCAAAACAGGACTTGACAGCTCCATTAGGTGACGTCACATCTTTTATACTCTCTGTGTTAACATAACTTGGAATACAAATGGGCTATAAATGGTAAATAGAAATAATCTGTTTCAAAAACTCTCCATGCTTACAGATTTTGTATGTTCATTCAGACATAATATCTAAATTAATTTGACCATGAATCAGCACAACAGTGTGAGCGATTTCTAGCAATACTAAATGGCCAGATGCAAAGGGAGAAAGACCTGAAGGTGACTGGAATATAATATAAACTTAATGCTTCTTTACAATAAATCTTATTCAGTTAGAAAGGCTGTTTATTTCACCATAAATGGTGCCACATTTGAAAGGAAAATAGATTTTTGGGTTGAACAGCAAAGTTGAGTTTGTGGGTTTTGCCCATGAACAGCTTATCCTCCTATTAACCTTCTGGTACTCCAGGTGCTGACAATCAGGTACCTGCAAGCATGGCCCTGGCTAAAGTGGTCAATTGGTATCTGCTCCAAGCATGTCACACTTGACTAATCTGGATTGGGTTCCTTTCATAGCACAGCTTCAACCTGCTGTTCTTCTATTAAATATTTTCTGTCATTTATAATTAGTGTGGCATTCCTTTATAATTAATCATTGTCTTAGTGATCAGCGATTAAAATCTCCTATATAACCTTACCTTACAATGTGCTTATTCAATTAACTGCTGAAGATAATAGAAAAATATAACTACAGGTTAGCCAGGGCTGATCAGAGGAAGCTGGTGACAAAGAGGAAGACACAGCAACAATTGCATTCATCTCTCTCTCTCTGTCTCTAGACTCAACTCCAGTCCTTTTCTGACACAACTGGATAATCTGGCTTTTAAGCATTGTTTCATTGTGTTTTGCTCAGAGGTGAGTCCAGCCTTCCCTGGTGTCCCAACACTAATGTCTCACAGTGTTAATCTTACACTGCATAACACCATAACGAGAGCAAATTAGAGAACTGCAATATAAATTTAATATGCCTTTACGTCTTCACTTGATTTCTTAATTAGTTAGTTAATCTCAGGTTTGTTTCCTTAGTCAGTTACCACTTACAATAAGCATGGACTCACAAACTGAACAATTAATTTTAATAGAGACTAATTCATTTAAACAGAATAATGGCCATTAGACACAAAACCCTACCCTTCTAGAGACTATCTGCTCCCAGACCACCTAAAAGATTAACTACTATAAAAAAAAATTATTTGTTACAGATATTCACAAAGAATATCACAACAACAGTCGCCTCAAGGCACTTTATATTGTAAGGTGGACCCTATAAAACATACAGAGAAAAACCCACCAATCATATGATCCCCTATGAGCAAACACTTTGGCGACAGTGGGAAGGAAAAGCTCCCTTTTGACAGGAAGAAACCTCCAGCAGAACCAGGCTCAGGGAGGGGCGGGGCGGGGGAGAGAGAAGGAAGACAGGATAAAAACATGCTGTGGAAGAGAGACAGGGGTTAATAACAAGTAAGATTCAGTGCAGAGAGGTCTATTAACAACGTGAACCAGAGCAACAATCCAACTTTACTCCAACAGAGATAGATGATCTTGTTAATAGTTTTACATCCTTACTGTGTACGACTCTGGATAAAAAGAAAGCAATAAATCAGCGAGCTTTAAATCCCAGGCATAATTCAAACACATTAAACAAAACACATTGCAGGTATTAAAGGAAATGCACTGCAATAGTTGAAATTGCATCCAGCTCATAAATTCCAATTTGCGCATGAAGACGGAGAGTCTTCTAGACACATGACAGTTAGTCAAGGAGTTTCACTGGGTTCTATGCTGGGACCAGTTCTACTTCACTAAACTTAGAAAATGCAACATACCTATGTTGCATACCTATCATCACTATGCAGATGATCCCCAGCTTTATCTATGAAGCCAAATGACACAAATCAGTTAGATAAACAGACATGTCTTAAAGATCTTGGAAACATGGTATCTCTCCAGATTCTTACCTTGGCCTCCAGTAACACTGGAGGAGTCTTGGTGTCATTTTTAATCAACATGTTCTTCAACACACACATTAAATATATATAGGGTTGCTTTCTTGCATCTGTTCAATCTCTTTAATCCTGCCACAGAGTGATGCTGAAAAACTAGTTCATGCCGCTTTCTCAGTCAATCTTTGGTCAATCCAAAAAGCTGCAGCAAGAGTACTAACGGGGACTAGAAAGAGAGATCATATTTCCCCTGTAATTACTTTATCTTTGCTGGCTTCCCGTTAAATCCAGAATTGAAATTTAAAATCCTTCTCATTGTACTATATTATCCCAACAGACCACTTTGGCTGACTTACCGGCTGACTCGTAGTTCTAAAAGTAGAATGGGAGGCAGAGCTTTCTGCTGTTAAGTGCATCATTGAACTTTTGTCTTCACTCTCTCTTACTGTAGTCTGTGTTTTTTTCTGGATCCCTATCCTCACTTTTTGTTTCTCCTTTTCTCCTCACCCACCAAATGGTAGTGGCAGATGACTTCCCCTCCCCAAGCTTAGGACTGCCGAAGGTTTCTTCCTGCTAAAAGGGAGTTTTTTCTTACTACATTGCAAAGTGCTGATTTAATCGTTGGGATTTTCTTCAGAATACTGTAGGGTTACCATGCAGTAGAAAGCACTTTGAGGTGATTGTTTTGTGATTTATTGCTATATGACTAAACCAGACATTGAATGGCAGTGAAACAGAATAACTTATGCATTTTTTTTGTCTTATTCTACTTTCCACTTCTACTATACTAAATGAAAAATATTCTACTTGGTACTCCACAGCATAGTTTTTTCTTTACTTTTTTTGCAGATTTTAAAATATACAGCATCACATCACAGGATATTAGGACATTTATAAGTATAGAAAATTACCCATTAGCATATTCAATTCATTTCAGTTTTATTTATATAGTGCCAAATTACAACAACAGTTGCTTCAAGGTGCTTTATGTTGTAAGGTAGACTCTACAATAAGACATACAGAGAAAAACTCAACAATCATATGACCCCCTATGAGCAAGCACTTTGGCAACAGTAGGAAGGAAAAACTCCCTTTTAACAGGAAGATTATATAGGATATATCATTACAGTCCTCTCCAACTGACACATTAAAGTAATACTTAAATCAAGGAATCAGTTATAATCCAATAAAATAAATAAACTGAAAATGAGTATTTTACTTTTGGCCCTTTAAGCATATTTTAAAATATTCATAGTGTTCCTTCTGTAGAATTGTGACTTAAATAAAAGAAGCTTGTTTGCTTCTGATGCTTGTTTCACGATTCTGAAAAACAGAACTTACTCATTCAATACAAAGAAGTTTCATACTTTGTATTGAATAAACTTTTATGTAGCACATGGCTCCACATGAACCTGAAAATCAGACTTAATGTTTTCTACACCAAATTCTCTACAGTATATTTATTTTTTTACTAATTGCACAGATGTGGTACTGTGATCTTTTTTTTCCATTGCAAAGAGGAAAAAAGAAAAATCTTTTGATTATTTTCCGTTTTATTAAACATCTAAGAGGAAACAAAACACCAAATTGTCCAAACAGTGGCTCACTGACTGATTTACTGACTCCAGTTCACGCTCACGGACCACCAGTGCCACCTTGTGGTCAGCTTAAAAAATACACAGATTGTTCAGTGAGTTGTATTTTTCTTTCCTTTATTTTGACAGGAGCATTGGCTTAATTTACCTTACAGTTGGTACAAATACAGTACAGTATGTTTCTCCTAATAAATGCATCACTCGCATTCACTTAGTGATGTCACTGAGGGTGTTGGGGTGACTTTTGACACAGCAGATGCTGCACAGACACTCTTTAGGTGAACTATAGACGGACAGTGTGTACATGATAGTTGGGGTCTTTGCACTCTTGTGCAGCTATTGCCATCGGGTCACAATGTGTGTGAACACATGTCACATTGAACTTGCATATTGAATACCTAACCTAAAGCTTTCACCTGAGAACAAACCAGTACATCCTCCATTCACACAAGTCTCAGATTTGTCAAAGTGCACAAAGAAAAACAATTTTAGGGAAAGGAGAAGACAGAAGGTATTGCTATTACTGACACAAGGTGTGTGAGCAGGAGGTGGACATGTGAAAAGGAGCTTTAAATCATTGTGTGATGGTGACAAGAATACAAGCGGGAATCAGTAATGCTGTTTCAGTTTTGAAACACAACACTGGTTTCCTACAAAAAGGTGTGTTGAGATGGTGCAATGTTTGAATGCATTTAAAGAAACATCATAAAATACACCTTTTAGTCATAACCATGCAGTTGCACTCAATTCCTTTTTACAGCACGAAGATCTGAACAACAGTACACACCACTAAACTGATTTACATCTTATCCACTGTGCTGTTTGTGCAAGGTCATCGGAAAAATCCACACAACAACATTCACATTTTGCTTATTTTAGAACACAAAGTCATCACCTTCAGTGAAAAATTAGGTGTTTTACATATAGATTTGAATGATTAATCCAATATTCAATGTCACTAAGGTCAGTGGACCAAATCTTTGCCTGCATTATTATAGATGTGGGGGGAAAAAACAAGTGCATAGTTCAGTTATATCCCCATCTCTGCATTTGGTACCCTCAGGTTCTGTTAGACTGAAACCCAGTGGAAGCAGCCACAGAGCCAGATAGTTTTTAAAGAGGTGGGCAGGTTGAGCTCAGAACCTATTTCTAGTTCTTGTTTCCCCATTTTACAGATTGTTGTAGTACCAAATGATTGCTTACCAGATGTACCAAATCATTCCTAATCATTTAGGCATGACTGCCATAGAAAGGTATGCCATGAGGACTCATGCATAACAAGCATTTTTATGTAAAACTTTAAAAAAAAAAAAAAGTTTTTAAAAGTGTCAAGTAACAGAAGAATAACTTCCCTATAGTAAAACTGAAACAAAAGCTTATTAAGAGTATTAATAATTAATTAAAAATGTTCCAAAAAGAATCACCTCCTCAAACACAGCCCAGAGATCCAGTTCAGAGATTTAAATTAGCAGAACAGACAATGACAGGTGGTGGAACAGAGCAGGCATACCCCTAAAGCCCTACAACAATCCAAATGAATAAATTAGATATTTCAACCACTGCACAGTAAAGGCTTATTTGCAGACATTGCCGTTTCACACTTACTGGGCAGAAGGGGTGGCCAAACCTTACCCACCTGTGGTGGCTGTGGTGACTAAATATTTACTCCATATAAATTCTGTACCAGATTATATGGATTATATTGCAATAGGAGAGCAAAGAGAAGACAGGAAGCCTGGGAGAAAACCAGGGGGAAGACATGTCTTGAGGCAAATGGGTTGCCTGCTTAACCCAGTGAGCTAAACGGGTGATTCCACATGAAAGTGTTTTGAGGACAGTGCTTTAGTCAACGAGTCCTGCGACTTGTTCCATTAATCACTGCCTGTACAGCTTGAGATGTGAACATTTTTGGGTGGATTTTCCCTTCAAGGATCCTCTCTTTATAGATATACACAATTCAGAGCTTCCATCCACCTGATACATTAAAGCCGCTGTTTCACAAATTTGGTGAAATCTGACATGCTGGTAAATTTGTTTTTTTACACAAGAATCTACGGCTCACAAACCTTCTTAGAACTTTTCTCTACACCAGCGCTATGTTGCATCTAGAATCCTCTTCATCAAATCTGTCCTATTTCCACTGTGATTGTCTTACTCAGTGACCAAACATCTTCAACGCTCCTGGAGTTTCAGAGAACCAACAGGAATAACCAAACAAAAAAAATCATATAACTTGGATCTGACTGTGTTACAGCATGCAAGCCTCAAACAGTGTTTGACTTGTGAAAAACATCATTCAAGACAGTCAGTGCAACGGGGTGAGGCTGCCTCCTCTGTGGCTCCTGGCTTTGGAGTCAGGGGCAGCGTCCGGAGAGGTAGGGGAAACTGGGACATCAAATGCAGGGTTGGGAATATGCAGAGCCTCTCGTCTGCATTTCTTTGAGCGAGCTTTGGTGTGACGTGGACGAGAAGTATCGCCATGGGAGCTGGACGTATGGTTACCCCTGCAGCCTTTAGAGAACTCCGATGTGGGGTCAGAGTTCAACGCTGGGCTGGTTTCTGGGCAGGAATGAGCATTCTGAGGTTTCCCCTGAGGACACGAGGTGGACAGGAGCGGAGAAAGCGCAGCTGATTCTAGCAGACCTTTAGTTCCCTGTGTGCACTGCAAGGGCAGTGCAAGAAAGAGGAAGTAAAAAAAAGTAATAAAACAAGTGACAAAACAAGCTAGTGATATTAACAGGGAACACATCAGTCTCTGAAATTACTTCAGCAAATATAACATGAGTCAAAGGCCAACTAGGAGTGCAAGCAGGATCCACACGTGATCTCAAGCAGGATATCCAAAATATTTCATGCCACAGACATGCATAGGCATGCACATTGAACCTGGCCAGTCACATTTCATATTTGATTTAGCCCAAGAAGCCTGTTTATTTATTACACCAAACTTTTAGAATGGCACTAAAACAAAGCGTGATAGTTTGCAAGAGCTGGTTCTAAAAAAGGATTGATGAAGTTTAAGTAGCAGCTGCCAGAATATTCAGACTTTAACAGGGCGTCCACACAAGAAGCAGTTTGCTTGGTGCCTGTGGCTTCATCACTGACGACTGGTCACTAGTGAACATTAAAAGCATTCCATCATATGTCAGTCAACCGTATCCTTCACTCTCGCTGGTAGTCGTTTCCACCTTTCAAGTAGAATGTAAGAAGTCTAACTCAGAACCTGGCCACTTTATGTCATCAGCAGTTATTTTGCCTGTCGCTGTTAAAGTTGCTGAATGTCATTGATATTCTGTTACTTCTGGTTCCCACATTATTGTCATAAATATCATAAAAGATGAACATAGTGACTATGACATCACTGACTGTTTTGTGAGATTCTTTTATGAAGCCTTGAGGAGAACATGTTCAAACAGCACATGTCCTTAGCCAATGAGCGCACTCTGGATAATCCTGCTTTTTGACCCTTATATGACCAAAATTTACAAGTTCCCAAAATGAGTGACTGAGCCCATAGAATCGATAACTCAGAGAAAAATAACACCAAAACTAAAAATGAGTTTAAGGCAGGTGTGTCAAACTCCAGTCCTCGAGGGCCGGTGTCCCAAAACGTTTAAATATGTCCCTGCTGCAACACAACTGAATAACATTAGGTCATTAGCAAGACTCTATAGAACTTGAGTGCATGTTGAGGTGGCAACCCCTAACCCTACTCAAGCAATTTTAAATAAGTGTAAGTGTTTGAAAGATGCTGCTGTAACATGAATCAAAAGGCTGAATTGCCACCTCATCGTGCAGTCAAGTTCTACAGTCTTGCTAATGACCTAATGTTATTCAGGTGTGTTGCAGCAGGTACTCAGAAAGGTTTCAGGACACCGGCCCTTGAGGACTGGAGTTTGACAGCTGTGGTTTAAGGGGATCACTTTTGTGCTGTCCCTGGCTGCAACAATGAGTTTTACGTTAAGAAACCGAGGATATACTGTCCACTTTCACTGTCTGTCTCTTTCGCAGTAATTGGCTTTTCATTATTTGGCTTCCTGCACTGAAATGGGAAAATCTGGCCGTTAGCTGTAAAGAATTTAACAAACGTGACTAGACTCGCAGACAGTTTTTGAGAGCAGGGCTCCGTGATGTAGATTAGCCTTTTTACGTGTAGTGTTTCACGTCCTCTTAAAGGCTTCATTTCTCAGAACAGGAAGATAAGTCCATCTTTTACGGTATCATCACTGCTAGCTCTTCCAGTGTGGATGCTTCTTACGCGTCATGCTGGATCCATTAAAGAGAACTCCATATCACTATCCCTGCACGCTTGCCCAAAGGATCAGACTCAGGTCAGGCTTTACACTGAGAAAACAAACTGTAAGATTCTTCTGGGAGATGTTGAAGTTTAACAAACATCTTCTATGCTTTTTAAACCATCTGCAGACGAAGACGTCCCGACCAAAACGATAAAACCTAGCATTGTTTACAGTCAGTGGTCTTCAGTAAATGCTTTATAAACTTTTATAATTGTGGTTTATGTGAAAAACTCTTGTCTGTAATACAATGAGTGACCACTGGGACAAGCTGGCTAAAGGGAAGTGATTGGATGCATTGGCTCTGTTAATGCATCCATTATCAAGCGTGCATTTGTGTGGTGGGTTCTTTGCAATTTAAAGGTTTACATTTTCAAGCTGACACATCCAAGTTGATCTGAACTGAGATTAAAGGTTCAGTAGCTCAAAACAGTAAATGTTTACAAGTACAGCAGCAGACCCTGAACCTGACTTCTTTCTGCTTGTTGGCAGATGTTTTTATCCCACTCTGTAACGTTACACAGTCTTTACCTTATAAACATACCTGCCTTGAGATGCTTTGCTTTAAACTGACGCCAAATAAAAAACACCGAATTAAACAGAGATTGGCTGGGATCTTTATAAGCATAAAATGTACTTTTAAAAAGTACCTTTTATTACTAAAGCAATTTAACACACAATGAAAATATAAAGTAGCAGTTAGCTCGGCCAAACTAAGACCAGTAAAACCAAAAGAGTGAGCTGAAAGGAGCTGTTAAACTGCACAGAACTGACTGGAAGTTCAGTTTGGTGATAATATTTGATACTATGAGCAACCCGTTTTACATGAACTGATCATTTCTTAGTATAAAATGTTGCTTTGGGCACTTTTTAAATGCAACTATTCACCCGAATTCGCTTCTTTAGCCTTGAATGTAAATTAGTCTGACAAATGAATGAATTTTAACAGCATAAGCTCTGGAAAATTTTTCATTTAAATGCTAAACCTTTTTTTTTTTCTCCATATGCTAGTTTGTATTCAAAGTTTATACGCTACGTATAATTCAGGGTCGAGAAAATGTGCTGTCACCATATGGGTATATTTCAACACTGTTTCCACCCCTAAACCTAAAAATTATACACACATGGGAAGTCTCTAAGCACTGTTAAAGCCCTGCAGTTCATTCCTTAAGAAGCTGGTTTAATGGCTGTCATTATGTTTCACTGACCTCTGAATGAACATCTTCCTACAGTTGTTTTTGTCAGTCTTTAAACAGTCTGGTGGTTAGCACAAGAGAGTTGTTTGATCCGTAACTATGCACCCTTTACTGGGATCAATTATACACTTCAATGCATTTAACATTGGCAATGGTTAAAGCCATGCGGGAGTAAAGCAGCCAAGCAAAGGGGCATGCAAAGACAACGGCGGCCACAGGCTGTCTGCACTCACTCTCCCTTTCTCTATACAGGCTTACCAAGCTCAAGGCTCGCTTTTCTTTGCTCTAACAGCGGCTAATCAGCCAGTGCAGGACAGAGCAAAGTCCAGACACTTCTCCTCCTAGTGTTGGTGGAGGGACGCAGGCACAGAGACACACCACACAGAGAACAGTGAGTCAGCACTGGGTGAGCAGACACACAGGGAGGGACTGATTCTGGGTTTGTCTCGTAGGAAAAATATAGAAAAGTATGTCTCCTTGTACTGTGATAGGAAAACGGTGATGATGGATGGAAACAAAATGAAAAATGACAACACATGATGAACTGCATGGACAAAAATTTTATGTTATACATTACAGATACTAAAAACTGAAACATCGTAAAAAAAAAAAAAAAAACACGTAAAAATGAAACAAAGGCATGACGGGAAGCAAGAGATGAAGGACATGAGGAGCTTCCCTCGTCACAAATCTTTTGGCATTTTAACCTTTTATATGCAGACAGACATGACAGGAGAAAACAAACAGCACACACGCAAATTTACAAACCGCTGTTACAGAAATAGCTTTCTTTACAGCGTCACCAGCTTTTCAACTGACTTCAAAAGGCTAGCTTATACACACTCAAAGACACAAGACTCCAGCTTCAACTGACTCTCACTGTACTACGCGATATGTGAATATATTGAGGCTCAGATTGCAACTCTATCTGAACTCTGGGCAAGTCTTGTAAACAAAACTGGCTTAAAAACACTTCAAGTATCTTTTTATATCCCTTGCTGTCAGAGAGAACAGCAAGAGAGATGCTCTGTGAGGAGGAGCTGGAAACACTTCTTACATCTCCTGCTCTCTAAACACCCGGAGCTGGCACACGATACTGCATAGAAGTAAACACTGAGGAAAAATGTGCATACAGAGAGTAGTACTCTCTATTAAAAATAGCACAAGAAGAATTTTATGTGTGCATTTCCATGAGGTAGACATGGCTGAACAACAGCTAAAGACACCATATTAAATTACACTTTAACAAAGTAGTTCAAGTTTAAAAAAAAAAAAAAAAAAAAAAACAGCAGCAGGACCCCAGTTGACTATTTCCTGAATTAAAATACGCACCTGCCAAAGCATCATTAGTTCTCTTATTTAAACCTGGACATTAGAGCTACTTTTTCATGTTTGTCATCTATATTTCTAAGATATGCCTTCAACAAAAATTATAAATCAATACGTTAACATTTTGTTTTTTTAAGAAACAAACAAGATTAAGAGGTGTTACTGGGTGACTGGTCACTGTTGGTCTTTATGAGTTTTTTTCTTTTTTTTAATTTAATTGTCTGCGTCTTTGACAATTCAACTTAATAATTATTCAGTAATGCGCAATTCAAAGAGTCCTGCTAGCAGCAGACCTCAGGGCAGGGACTTCGTGACAATTAACATACCTCTAGTGGTTACTCTACGAAGTCATAAATCATGTATGAGCAGCACGGTGGCACAGTGGTTAGCACTGTTGCCTCACAGCAAGAAGGTCGGGCCCAGGGTCTTTCTGTGTGGAGTTTGCATGTTCTCCCTGTGTTTCCGTGGGTGTTCTCCGGGTACTCCGGCTTCCTCCCGCAGTCCAAAGACATGCACTTAGCAGGGATAGGTTAACTGGAAACTCTAAATTTCCCATAGGTGTGAATGGTTGTCCATGTGTGGTTGTGCCCCCTCGATCATTTATAAAAATATTATATCCCTCCCCCGACTCTTCCTTTAACTCTTGCATTTGATGACATCCCCCTCTACCCTTAATGATGAGTTTTGACACCTCAGTATATATCAATACAAACATGGTTTGGCAACCATTAGAATTAGTAGAATATAACAAATAGAATAGTTTGTCCTTTGTAGAGTCTAACCAGTATAGGAACACCAATAATGACAGTTAGCAATTTAAAAATCCAAAATACTTGTCTACCACTACTGCTCTCATCTTTCAAACACACAGACCATAAACAGACTTCTCTAATTTTTTTTATATTTAGTTAATAAGGAGTTCTTAAAGATAGGACAACTCAGTTTCAAAATAATGTTGATATGTAATAATGTCATAAAATATTAAAAATGTATAAAGTAACCCAGTTTAAGCAGTCTTCAAACTTTGATTGTACTGCTTCAAAAGCCCCCAAATACATTCTCTTCATTTGATGTTCTTCTAGGTCCTTCAGCTTTCGGTTTAAAACCAAAACAGGTGTTGAGTGGCAAGTAAGTACTCCTAACTAGTACCCTATCTGTTTTTCATAATCATAATAAATTAATAAGTAAAACTGAGCTAAAAACATTGCAGCTCTTTACTAGAATAAGAAATAGAATAATAGAAAAAACATTTTTTTAAAACTCCACCAACCAAACCAAACAAATGCGCCATAACGTTCAACTATCCCTTTAACTTCCAATAAGAGGCATAATACTGTGCGATAAACCTCTGACTAAGGATTATTGCTAAGGATTGTCTTATTGCATTGGAGTCACACTGGGTTAAATATGTACACTTGGGTTTTAAGGGGTATTTATTATTTTCTTCTTTTTTTTGGGTTGTATGGAAGCCCCAAACGCAATTTCATTGTTCTTGACAATGACAATAAATAAATAAATACTAAATAATACTAAAATACTAATACACCAAACCTTTACATGACAGTCAACAACAGGCAGCAGACAGATGCTGGGTTGGGGCTACAGCAGGCAACGAGGTTTCTCTCAGGCACAGAAAGAGTTTTGGTGGCAGTCACAGGGTGCAGGCACGGGAGAGGGGGATTTCTGCAATGCAAAAGCGGCTCCTACCACATTTATCTCGCTTTTAGCGGCCAGGGTGGGCAGCTCGATGTCAGCACTGCCAGTCTGGGCAGACTCATCTGCCGGCAGGAAACCCCGTCTGTCAATCAAGCTGAAATGGCACAGAAAGATACGAATGTTCAGGTTATGAGGCGAGGATGTTCCTCCATTAATACCAATATCTTGTCATCTTTGTCATGAATGCAGAACGCACATCACAGATTAAGAATTAGGAATTCTTCCTCCCCGCCATCTCCAACTACTTACTCTCTTGGCGGTGGTTTTCCATCTGAGACTCTTTATCTTGTAATAGTAAGTGGTTGAGACAACTAAACTGCTGCTACTTACACACATAAAACTAAATTGCAATTAAACAATGAACTGAAGCTCTGTAATTCAAAAATAGCCACAATCCAGCTGATTGCTATTGCTACAGGTTTATTAGTACTGCGCTCTCTTTATCAACTCATACAAACTTATTTAAAATTATCAGTGATTGCTTCTTTCATAAAGTATGCATGCTTGCAAATGAAATATGCACCATCTTAAACAGCCCATTAGTAATAAAATAGCTAAAACTAATATACAAGGATCCTCACAAGCATCTCTCTTTGTTACTTGGACTCGATATTAAAGATTTAATGATGGAAGGAGTAATTCATAAAGAGGACCAACCTTGGCGGCATGGGCGCACAAAGCACCGAACAACAGTTGATAAAGATGTTTTTATGACTGTATGGGTTTGTAACATCTTCTCCACTCTTCCCTGACCAGGAGCCTTTAATCTAAAAAAATATAAATATAAAAAATAAAAACAAATCACATATAATTGCCCCTTGGGGATAAATAAAGTCTTTCTGATTCTGATCTGATTCTGATATAAAACATATGACATGTTTTTCCCCAAACACATTATTTTGGAAGTAGAGTTTGTTCACTTTGTGAATACAAAAGTATCTGCAAGATTTCCCTTACTACTAACAAAATATTAGTATTAATATTTGTGTTGTTGTTACTATTGTTATTGTTAATTAAAAGTATTCTAATGTTAAATATACTTCCACACTAACAGAAAATTAATATTAAATATATTTACAAATTACATACAGAGTATATTTTCTTTGATTTAACAAGCATCACAAAATGAACAAAATAACATGATGTCGTCTAACAAACTGAGTCATAAAAGCAGCTTTGGGTACTCACGTCTTCGTTAGTGGTAAGATTGGAAGCAACCAGGTATGTATGGAAGCCTGAGAGGCCCAAAATGGACCAAACTGAAAAGAAACATATCACCAGCTCCACTGCAGTGAAAGACTGAGTCAAGGAAAGGAAAGTTATCAAAACACTGGCCACATAAGAAAAAACAAAAGGCTTGAAAATTGTGCCAAATTTGTTTCACTGGCACAATCCCAGAAATATATAAGACATAACAACAGCTAATCAACTAAAACATATCCCCATTCGAGCACTGGATATTTGCCAAATTGTTATTTAGAACCTGATATCAGCCCAGAAAGCCTTAGTCTGCACTTCCCTACGGATTACAGTAATTTTTGTTTCCTAATATAAAGTGAAGAAAAACACGGTTAAAAACAGTACAAATAAGAAAAATGATCACAGATGGCAATGGTGTCTATGTATATGTTATGTATATGTTATATATACATATGCAAGCTGACTGATTTTCATCCGACTTCTGTCACTGACTGTGTTTTTTGAGTAAAAAAATCTTATTCGGTACAGGATATCTCCCCGGACTCTCCTGAAGCGCAAACACTAGGCCCTTCCCGCCCTGAGCTCCTGAAAAAGAGGAAAGTGAGCAGGATTTCAGGATGATAAAATTTAATTTGTGTGGGAAATGACCGAGCTGATCCACGTATATGGCTTTTGTCAGACATTAAACTGCTCTGCTGTTGTGAACCACGCCTGGCAGTCCGAATGAAACAAAACAAACAAGCAGGCGCTATTTGAAGCCGACTACTTCCCAAGCATGAAACACCTGCAGATCAGAGCAAAACCACATACTCAGTGCTAGGTGTGTGGTCACACAGCCGAAGATGAACGCCGTCAGGAAGGAGAGCGACACGATGAAGGTGTAGAAAAACCGGTAGTTACGTTTCCCTACACAGTTCCCAACCCAGGGGCAGTGATGGTCGAATCTCTCTGAAAGACAGTGATCAACTCACATTTTAGGAATGTTAAAAAAAACTCTAGAGCACTGAGCTATATAAAAGTGCGCTCTCTGCAGCTCTGTGAAACCTCTTTTTATTATTTATGGGTTGTAAATGTCAGTGTCGCTGTGTGTTCACAGCTCACCCACACAGTTGTCACACAGGCTGCAGTGGGAGGTGCGCGGAGGGCGGAACATCTTGCAGGTGAAGCAGTACTTGAGCTTCACCACCTGCTGATTGATTAGCACTTCCTTGGTGCGAGGCGGAGGTCGATAGCTGGTGTTTCCAGTGTTGTCTACAGAGAAGAACAGTGAAAATAGGGACACAGTGTTGTGCTTTAAATCTAAGGTAGGTGTGCAGTTATTGCTGCAGTAAGCATCGAGTTTCCACTTCCATCAAAGTCATGGCAGCAAACTTACAAGTGTCACATTCACAAACCACTTTAAAGCACGATAAAAGTGTGAATGGATACCATCACATTATCAGCAATGCGTGCACATCATTAGGGCTGCACGCATCTCTGGTCAGTACTTTGAGCTTCTCATTAAAAACCTTTTGAAGATTGCTCTAAAAGATCATTTCAGAAAGTTTTCCCTCAATCAGTGCTACAGACTTGAACCCACAGGGGAAGGGGGGAGTGCACCCTGGACAGGTGGCCAGTGTGTCGCAGGGCTAGAACATGGAGCCAAACATTCATACTCATATTCAAACCTACAGCCAATTTTGAAACACAAATGAACCTGAACACTTCTTGTGTCTATGGGCAGTTTGAAGAACCTGGAGTGCCTGGAGAGTCTCCATACACACAAAACAGGGATTTACACATTTGCATTTCAAACTTCAATCCCCACACCTCTCATTGACTTTAAATGCAGTGCACAACTAAACTGTGAATCTGGACCTTTGTTTTGCTTTCAGTGCTTGCACTTAAAAGTTGAGAAAGTTCTCCAATGCCAGCACCATGGCAGCCAATCAAATCCATCCATCACATCGTGTTATTAAAATATAAAGGAAGTTTGTGTAATTCAGCATCAAAATGGAGAACATTAGCAACAGGCAGTTAGTGTGACTCATGCTAAGTGATCATTAAAGCTCAATTAGCTTGCCTTGTTAATGGCTGGCTGTTACTGCTTTGACTATCCCACTAGCAAAGACACCCCAGATGTCAAGTACTCCCACTGTCAATCAGTGAAGCATAATGTACATATGAATCCTGTTTTAATGTACACAATTTCAACCTATAATCATTTTCTGTCACACTTCACATCCTTGTAAAATCAGGTCTGACCACTTCACTGGGTTGTAACAACTTGCGCCTTTATCCACTCTTACTCAGGGCAAGGGGTGGATTATAGCCCAATAATAGCCTGAGCAGAAAGACATCTGGTGTCAGGTGTGCAGCTCGTAACAGCAGATGGAAAATGATGTGTCATCTTTCACAAAATGACTAACCTGCAAAAACTCTTTCCCAGTAACTTGGACACTGTGCCTGAGAGGTTGACCAACATGAGAAAAATAATAGAAAAAAAGAAATACCCGCTATTCTTTTTGCGCAACTTACAGATGGTTCCTTATGGGGTTTTTTTTATTTATTTTTTTTATTTTTACAATAGTCGGTGTCATCCATTCCATACCATACTAAACCGTGCGCTAATTCAAACTAAGAAGCTACACAAGAGAGCTTTCCAGAATCTTTCCTGAAACATTGGGGCCCAAATAAATGTTCAACAGTCACGCCAGAATCTTCATTTCAAAAATAGCTGTAGTACAGTTCAGTTGGATAACATGTGGATCTTACATCACCACTGCCTAAACTCTGGTCATGAGTAGGAGTTTCCAAAGTGCACAGAAAGCCAGCTTTAGACATGCAGGTCATTATAACGATGCAAGTCATATGGAAAGTAAAAATAATATTGGCATGGCATAAAACTGAGAGTGAACATAACTGATGAGCTTTGAACAGGTCTGAGGTGTGAAAGATTGGGGAAAATAATCTGTATAAAATCTAGTGAAAACTTCAGACCAAAATTAGAAGGCAGCAGACACTTTTCAACGTGCCAACATGACGTTTATTACACAGCAAATTCCACTTGTGTTCTTTTATGTCTTGATGACTTCCGCATCATTAAAATGACCTGAAGAATTTAAAATTGTGACTGAGCCATTAAAATGTACGCGCATGTGTGATTCCAGAATAAATAATTAGCCACACGAGAACAGCGCTTTCATTCTCTTGAAACTATGAATGGTGTTTTAATCAAAACAAAGTCAAGGCCACTGACTCTTCAATAACTTGGAATAAAATAAGCTGTGTTTAAGCAGTACTGGTTTATGGGTAAGATTCCCCGTCCTATACGAAACTTTAGAGCCAAAACACAGTGCAGAAATATCCCAAAAGAGAAAAAATGTGACAACACTGGACAGCATTTCCTGCACACAGATTTTAGGCCAACCAAGTATATTTGGTGACTAATTATTCCTTTTCCATATGTGTCAGTGAGCACCATCATTACCAACATGGCTGATTTACTAAGAACAATTCTTATCATTCTTGTTTGACAAAATCTGTATAACAGGGTGCTAGGTTACCAACTAATGCTAGCATGCTTGATTAGCAGGCTACTTACATAAACTGCACGTGTACAACAAACACACTTATATCTGCTAGCACAGCACAGACTAAAATATTACTCACCCAATCCGAAGCACAAACTTCTTAGACGGGCTGTACTTTACAAGAAGGCACATTATTTATCAAACAATCATATGAAACAACCAGAAAACACACCAAAAGGTAGTGAAGGCGAGATGTATCGACTACAGTTCTCTGTATCAGAAGACATATCAATCAAGAGGGTCATGTCCCTACCACCAGTATGCTGATAATTAGAAAGCCTTACACCACCCAGTGTAAGGTTTATGCTACAGATGCCTCACAGCTGCTTACCAAAATCCCTTTTTGTATTTCTGCAATGTTAATCCACCTTTATTCTTTTTTATTGAGATGCCAAATTAGCTATTTAGTTGAATTCCTGAACAGAAAAAAAAATTGTTTTAATGGTTGAATCTAATGTTTGATTCACTTCTGACTTCTTCTCTGATTTGGATATAAAAATATGGATAATAAATAATATTATGTTTTTACTTTTTTTAACAAGTTTTTGACAAATTTCTAAAATATTTGTGTTTTCTGTTTTTATGACAGCTGGTCTAATACATTTGTTAAGCACTGTATACAAAAAACCATCCACCATGGAGTTATTATGAGGGGGGGAACTATAGAGGCAATTTTAAATGTATCTTGCTATCTAATCACATGATTCATGTGTATAAATCGCATGTTTTGGTTTTCGTTACAGCCACAGCTAGTCTGTCACGTTATCACCTTCTCAGAAACACTTGTGTTTTATTTTGAGTGCTTTTACTGCATTTTTCTATATGCAGGCTTTTTCTTGAGTTGCAGTCCATTTGACCTCTCAGTGCCACCATTGGGTTGGCTTGTTTTTGGAGTTTGCCTCCAGTGGCTATTTGAGGAACTGCAGATATTGGGCATTTAAGCCTTTTCAGCCCCAGAGACTGATGCTTACCCTAGCCCCACTCCTCCTATTATCCAGCAGTGTTTCCAACAGAATGTCAGTCTGTAGGAAACAATTCGGGATGTCAAATTCAAAGGCCTTGCAGACAACCTCATAGTTACTAGTGCAGCTATTAGACATTACCAATCTGTTTCTCAATGTCTGCAGCCTCATCTGGTGTTGCTCTGGGCAGGATTCCGGGGTCGGTGAAGCTGGTCTGGAGCAAGGTGATGAGCACAAACACAAAGAGGACTCCTCCAATAACAGGTATGCAGCTGGTCAGGTGTTTGACCAGGAATGGACAACTGAGAAACAAACACAGGCAGGGGTAATTACCAAGGCACACTGGGAAAAGATGCAGACAATGTTCTGTCACATATAACTGAGCCTACCTTCTTCTTTTCTTTAACTCACTGATGGATCTAATTTTAATTAACATTCAACTCTTTTAATTGCCATAAAACTCCCAGAAGACTGAACACATTTTCACTCTACTGTGGCAGAAAGAATCCTGTTTCTATTATTAAGCACTACTTCTTAAAAATGTGCACTTAGCTACAAATATTAAGAAAAAAAACATTAAAAATAAACATAATTGCAACACACAGGTTAAAACAAATATCGATACAGTGCAGGGTCAAAAATGCGCTTTGGTCAGTATTTTTTTTTTGTTTTGCTTTGTTTTTTTGAGCAATCTGCATCATTAAATATCATCCTGCTAAGTCCAACTGTATGTTAGCGAGTCTCTTGCTTTTGGAAAAAACAAACAAACAGACAAACAATATAAATAAATAAAACAGATTTGATGCGCCAGACAGGGATCAGTTCATTAAAATATCGCTTAAAAAGCAGCTTTGTATCATCTGTGGACAACTTTTGAACGGAACTCGCAATCAGTATTACAGAACCATATAATATAAGACGAACTCACTCAAATATAAAAAATAAACCACTTGTGACGAGGATGAGACCCAGGGTAAGGGGAAGGACCCCACTCTGTCGGGCCACTATGATCCGTCCATCGCAGTAGAAGCGATTCTTTCCGGGGAAAACTTCCCACTTTCTCCTGGGTCTTCTCGGCTCCTTCTTCTTCTCCGTGTCATTCCCATGATGAGGCTGAGGGGTCGGGGTGGGCGTCGGAAGTGCTTGCGGGTCTATTTGTTGATACTCGCAGTTTTTCATTGTTTATAACGGAGTCTGGCCGCTCTGTCCTAGTTCGGACACCCGGTGCATTTGTCCAGCGACCGACAGCATCACCGACTCCCGTGTATTTTGAGGTAGCTGAAAGGAGCGAATGTCGTCTTTCCAAGGAGAAAATAAGCTAATCCCACACCGAGGATATCCAGCTGTAAATAACCACGAGACCCCGTGCTCGAAATTACATATCTGTTTATTCTCATAACTCCTAATTTATTATTTATAAAGTTTATCTCCAAAAAGACAGCACAAATCCAACCTATAACACAATGACCATCGTTAGCTTCTTAGCTTTCCCATTCATCCTAGCAAGCTCATCCAGCTGCGGAGTTATTTAACAACAGTAAATCCAAAGTGCTATTACCACTGCTAGCTTGTTAGCTTCCTCGACTTATAGATTATTGCCGGCCTTTATGCTAAGCTCCGGCGGTCCTTTATGAGTAAATGACATGTAACACAAAAACTTTGTTATTTTTAATGCATATCGCTCTACTAGGAGGAGTCCTGACACATTCGTGACTACCTGCTGTTTAGCTACGTTGCCATAAAACGAGCCGTGTTGTCAAAGTAAACGCAAAGAAATGTAGTATTTCCGGTTGGTTTTCTTTCTAAATAAACTACAACATTCAATATTATATTTTATGTACCATAATAATAAAAGTCATACGAAAATATTGGTTAAAGATGTACTTTATTTACTCGCACTGTTGTTACTAAATTGTTCTCTCAAATATATGTAAAAAAAAAATATCAGTATACTTTCATGTGGAATATCCGGTAATTCAATGACCAGTGTAGTTGACTTGACGCTGGTTCACAGATAACGACAATAACCACCGGAAATCTGTTAAAAAAATAAAACTGTAAAAATTACCTTTTATAATGGTAGGCTGGGCATAACTGTGTTTTAACGGTTGTTGTTTTTTTTTATCATTGCCTTCCTGAGAAAAGTTAAGACGCCCGTGATGCGCTATTATCGTGCAATATGCAAAATTACATTGGCAATTTGATGTACATTTTATTTTGTGAGTCACTTACAACCGGAAGGCCAACCTCTGGCTGTAGCTACCTGGTGCGCCTCTTCTACCTTGACGCTCAGGTACACAGATTTGGTCGAAAACTTTGTTGAAACTGGCGTTTTGGGGCGAAATTCATACACGAAACGTTCGAAATGGATTACAATAAATAAATGCGTACCATAAAGTGGAGAATCTAGCATTAATTCGGGAGACGGCCGGTGGACGCACCGTGTAAACTGTGAGTAATGTTAGGTGAGAAAGTCCTCAAATGGAGGAAACTGCCGCAATGACAAGTCGCCATGAAAGTGAAAATAATATTTGTATTTGAGACGAAATTCGAGCTCATATGTTCCTAAAGTTACCGTCAAATCGAGTTTGTGATTAGATAAAGACAAAACCGCAATACTATAGTCCCGTTTGACTTGTTTTTTTAAAAGCTAAGTCATACTGTTGATAAATGTCCAGGCGTATATCGTCACAACACAGGTTGCCAAACACTACTGAAGAATTGCAACATTGTCGTTTTCTAATAAGATTCATGTAATAAATAAATAAATACAAATGTAAAATAATTATAATTTATAATTACACATTTTTTTTTAAAATAAGGGAAATAATTCGTCTTTACTCAGGTTGTTTTAATGACTGGCGAAATAGCCACACTGGTCGTTAAATTAATTTTAATGATCCATATCCATATCCACAGAGTAGCCTTCATCATTGTTATGTGTTCTTAATGAGTAAAAGGAAATAAAACTATATAATTCTGAAATGAACATAGGTGTGAATCACCAGAAAGTGTACTCATTGGAGTTTCAATGAGTATTTTGTGATCTCCATGATGTCATGCAGTATATTTGATATAAGAACGGGTAATTGTGTTTGACTGTGTGTACACATACTCCGTAAAACCTGTTGGGCTGCATTACCTGCCACCTGCGGATATTAGTTTCACGATTGTTTTGACGAGAAATGCCCTCAGGTGCTTAGGAGCACACTTATTTCCTGCTTGACAATGTGGATTTATAAGAAGCGTTTTGTTTAGCTGTACTATTTCAACCCTGTCTCATCATTTAATTGAACCTCAGATGACCTCAATGTTTTTCTCATTTTTGTTCTTGGATTTTCTGATGCAGTCAATCATGTCTGCTGGCACCTCCAGCAGCCTTACGCATGGTTCAGGACGTGGCGCAGGCCACAGGCTTCGGTCCAGCCGGAGCAACAGCCAGGGGTCGTCCTATGAAGAACGTTGTGTGGACCCAGTTGAAGACAGAGCACAAAACCCAGAGCCGAAAGGAGTCCACAAAGCTGACCTGAAGGATGCTAATGGCAGACAGTATGAGACCATTGGCTTCATTCCTGGCTCAGCTGAGCCATCCACTGCAACCCAAACCTGCAATCCATGCACTTCTCCGAGAAGCTGTAGGACTTTTATATGTAGCATACTTACTTGCGGCCTGTACAGGGTCTGCCAGAACTCCATCCTCGCTCCATGCCTGGCACCAAAGGAGAGTTCACCAGATGAACCAGAGAGGTTGAGTCTCCAAGCTATGAACTCAAGAGACAACAAAGAAGAGTACACTGCAGAAGAACCCTGGTTGGAGGATCTCCACATTGCTGGAGTCAAAGTGGACAGCACAATAGAGTATTTAGGTGCTAAAACCAATCCTCCCACTTTGCCATACGTGCCACCTCCTGGTGTTCAGACACTGCCGAGCCACCAGTCGCTGCATGAGTCTATAAGGATTGATGACTGGGAGGATGGGGAGGAGAATGTGGACTCCCTGATTACTAAGAAGCTGCTGGAGCTCTACTCTGAATATCAGATTGAAGAACTGGCCCGGTGCACCTCAGACTCGGTGTTCCTGAAAAAGAGCAAGGCCATCAACCAGCTCATCAACTCACTGGCTGAGGAACATAAAATGGATGAGCAGGAGGCCGAGTGTCGGCTAGTGCGTGGAATCATCCGCATTAGCACTCGGAAGAGTACGAAGAAGAGGCCGCACATCTCCAGGAATGAGAGGACACTGTCGGACAGCGGAAATGAGACGATGAGGGAGAGCGAGTCCTTTTCATTGAGCAACAACAGTAAGTCCTGACCGACTCCTTTACTACAGAAATATCTGTGTTCCTGCCGGCATCTAGGAAATGCTTCAGTGCCATCAAGTAACAATCTCATTTTCTCTGTTTATCTAAGATGACTACAAATCAAATCCCAATATCCAAATATCAGATTTGACCTCCTCTGATCAGTGTGCCAGGGAGATTTGGAGGAACAATGGAGGTAAGAAATCTGCACTATTCTGCTTTGTTGAAAGTCTGTCCTAAACGAGCTATTCTGATAAAGTCAATTTATTAGACTAGCTCCACTGTACAATAGACGATATAAGCCATTCAGTGCCAGTAAATAGAAACTGCAAGTAAAATCCGCCACTCTGCTGACAGACATTGCAGTCATGGTGTTACATAACATTCAGAGTGGTTTATTCATTTTCAAGACTGATTATAGATGCTTCAGTCACCATGAGGTTACATAGATGAGGCCTGCTAAGGCTCTTCTATGTACTACTTACTATATACTAGAAGTAGGATGTGGGAGGGGCACAGGATTCAATTCAACCATTCAAGTTTTCTTTACATTTATACTTTCTGTAACTTTTCTGTTTTAGAGCCTTTATGGATTAAAAAAATAATGTGCATCAGTGAATGTTACAGTCACACTTTGTCACATATGTGTGAGCAGCTGTGCAGTTTCATCTCTCAGTAAGTCAGGAACAGACATCTGCTGTTTTGCACCAGTCAAAAAGTAGCTTTTGGAGCAGTTGCGTCATTTCTATTGAGTTGCTTCACTCAATTTCAGTGAGCGTGGAGCCCCTGCAGGTGGGGCACTGACAGGTAAACAGTATGAAGTGAAATTAGGTCAGTATTTAAGTGATTTTACAATTCATTTTGAACCGTTTTTATTGTTAATGATTCATAAAAAATATTATTGGGGCATGAATGTTTTGAAGCAGGACATGCCAGAACAGGTTTGAGAACCACTGCTTCACACTAACAGTTCATCTGTGCACTTTATGACTGAAGTAAATTTAAAAACAAATCATATCAAACTACAAGCTACCAAACATAAATTACACTGGCAGTGTGGTTGGATTATTTAGATAACCAAAAAAAAGAAAGCTAACATTTGTGATTTTTGACTAATCAATGTTTTTCATGATCTGTCTTTCACAATTATGTGTTTTTGTCATTAACTGATAACTGAGTTCAGGCAATAGAAAAGATTTGTTTAGAAATAGGTTAGCACTAAGTTAAATATTTACGAAGACTAAGGAATACGTTGTTTTTTTGTTTTTGTTTTTTCTAAAAGCATTTAGCAATTGGCAAAACTAAGATTGACATTTTCTCACACCTTTGTTTCCTTTCATTCTCTTTTTTTCACGACCTAATTCATATGTAATTAAGTTTGTTATCACAAATCAAATAAAAGGGAATCAGTGGGAATTACAATTGACCCTGTGCACGAGAAAATGCTCACTTCCTGCTTTGAGACCGGATGTGGGGTTGTACATTTCCGGTAGCTTTACTTTGCGGTCAATCGCTACTGCGAAGATATACTCCAAAATCATGTCCAAAACTCAAAAACGGAAAGATCGCGTTAAGTTACAAAGAGGAGAAGGTGGGAACACTCACCGCTGTTGTATCATAAAAAATCTAATGATCAATTTTGACGTTTAAAGCATTTAGATCGATCAGTTGTTTACATCACTCAACACAAGCAGAACTGCATCACTGCAGCAGAAGACACATCGTCCACATTCAGAAGCACATCTCTGTATAGTGACAGTTATTATGATTTAAACAGGCAAATGTTCAGCATTCAAACTACAGGTGAACAATAGTCAAACCAGATGTTTCCCGTTATGTCGATATCAGCTAGTCAAGTACACACCTACACAGCATGTTAACAAACTGTGAAAAAAGCCACACAAAAAATGAATGATTGCTGGTAAGGGTTTCTATACATTAGTACGTACGAAGGGTATGTTGTGACTTACCTTAAAAATTACAGTGGTCCCTCGCTGTAACGCGGTTCACCTTTCACCTTGCTGTTTCGCAGATTTTTTAGTGCAAGTTTGCATGCTTATTTTTTTTACGTCGCATTGTGTCCTGCGTCCTGATCGCTGCAGACGATCTCCTCCGTGACGTCTCTCCTGTACAGTACAGAATCACTGCATCGATCGCTAGCAGTGTGACTCTGAAGTGCAGTACTGGATGTCCACGAAACGTTTTGCACCGTCAAAAAATAAAATTGGCTACTTGATTTCACCTATCGCTGGTTATTTTTAGAACATAACACCCGCGATAAACGAGGGACAGCTGAGAAATAAAACATTTGAATCCATTTTCTCTTTTGCCCTGAGCCGCGGGGAAAAAATATCGACAAGTCGATGAACATCATTTACAGATATATTGGGTAAATGCCCAAGACATCTATAGAAATGTAAATCGCCGCTTGATTCATTCATTTGCTTAACTT